AGAGTCGTCTTGAGTAAAATTAGCTACTAGGCTTTTAGATTGGAGGCTTTTCTGTGTTTCAAAATGTGATCCATGTACAGGGATAATATAGGACAAATTAAAATAATATTTAGCTCCTTGCAAGAGTTTAAATTGGCTTTTTGACATTTCACATCTTAACTGTTTTGTTATTCTAAAATACTCTGTGTAACAGGTAAGTTAAATGTGAGTTTTAAAAGAATGGTGAAAGCATTTTGATGTTCACATCATGCTCCTCCAGGGATAATACCATATGGTCAGCACTTAGTGGGTGTCGAGGCCCGTTGTTTTGTCTCTTACTAAGTTTGTATAGCACGAGACCTTTGTTCCAGTTTGGGGTGTACATTGACTTCTTAGGGACCTGGTAGCGCGATAGGGGTTTAACTTTGAGATGGATGGGACAGCGCTGCGTCTCAGAGATAAGGCGGGCTCTCATTCGTCCATTTACAAAAACCTGACTGATCTTTTCTTGATTAAGCAGGAGAATACCGTATTTACCCTTTATTGTTGGTATAAACCATTATTTTACTGAGAACCATTAGCTATTTAAAACTTGGTACATAAATTAAAGAGGAGCTAAATGGATTTGTGATTGTTGCTATTAGTAGCATTTTAGATTATACAGGCAGTTATTGTGTTCATTATCCTAGAACAGCCCCTTTGCAGAACCATTGTGGTATCTTAGACATTATGCACAAATTTTCCCTTGGAGATTAAAATTTCCAGTAGCGTATTTAATTTTGTTATCACAGTTGTTTCAAATAAAACAAATGTTATGACAAGTAGAAGAAAATTTGCTTTACTAATATAGGAAATTACAATAAATGTTGAAAATTGCTTGCTAGTGTACATAATTTACCTTTTCTTGCAGAGTCATAATTCGAGTGATTAATAATATATTCTATGGGTGGAAAGATTTTACAATCATAGCAAAAGGTATTTGGTCTGTTCAGGTGTTTAAAGAAATTTTTTAAAGAAGGAAGAGATTCACATCAAAAGTGAAGTTACCGTCTTCTTTATAAAACCTGTAAGTTTACAAGTTAACTAGTTTTTATACTGAATATTGTTTTTAAGAGTCCAGATTGCATTTTAAGCGAGTTGTAGAAACTTTTTAAGCATGTTTTAGAGAAACGAGTATAAAAATATTAACTATTAACTAAAAGTGGACTTTATTAGAATTGACAAAAAAAAAAACCAAAAAACAAATTTGGATGATGCTATGTACTGTAGCTGGGTTGCAGTGATTTTCCAGGAAGAATAATCCTAGTTCAACAAGGGCTACCTGAAAGAATGCAAAGAACAACCCGTTCCTGAAAAGTTGTATTTTGCTGTAAACTTAAAGAGTTCAAAGTGATGAAGCTTCCCTTTGGACCCGAGGGGTGTGGGAGAGGACCGGGCCGAGCGGCCCTCAGGCAGCGGAGCCCCCCGTCCTGGTCAGTCAGAAAGGTATGAGTACTTGGAGTTCTCTGCATAGCAGTGGGCAGGGGGCTGCTTTTCACTGCGGTCCTATAGGTGGCATTTTTTCAAAGGAAACTGTGTATTCATTTCTGACTGTTTTTGTCCCAGCTTTTACAGTCTTTCACTGCTGGGATGCAGGGAGAGTGTGAGGTGGTGGTTATGCATTTTGCAAGACAGTGATTCTTTATTTTATTACAGAAAAAAGACCAACTCTGCAAGGCCAGATTAAATCATTCCTTTCACTTTTTAATGGGATTTGGATGAATAGAGTAAAATATGCACTTTGCATTCATTGATAGCATCTTTAGGTTGAGGTAATTGGGTCTTTTTTCCCTGACTGAGTGAATAATGACTTCATCTGACCCTCGGGAGGCCTGACACTCAGGCCTCCTTTGTCACAGCACAGGGTCTGGGCTTTGAAACATGCGCTACTTCCTCGGCGTAATTTTTCTTCATTCTAATCCAAAAGCCCATTTTTCTCAGTAATTCAGGCATAAACTGTGTAGTAGTTGAAGTAGCGGAGATTGCAAGATACTCGTCCTCGTTGCGCTGCTCTTGAAACGCGGTGGGTAGATCCGGGCGCGCTCTTGAGCGGCCCGGTTCTCAAGGGCTCTTACGGGGCGGCCTGCCGGAAGTTTCCAGAAGCTCGCAAGGGCTCCTGTGCCGCCCGCCCGTCCCCTGCGGAGGGGCCTGCAGGTGGAGGGCCTCGCGCTGACCCCTGGCCCGACGGTGGCCGCTCGTGCAGAACGGGGAGGCCCCTGCGGCCGCGCGCCAACTTGCGTGGCCCCGGCCCGCGGGCTCAGCAGGCGACCCCAGACCGCACCACGGCCCCCAGGCCCCGCGCTTTCTTCCCGGGGGCGGGGGGCGGGGCCACAGGGGGCGGGGCCACAGGGACGGGGGCCTATGGGTGGAGCAGGGAGCCTCTGGGGCGGGGCCACGGGGACGGGGCCTATGGGGTGGGGCGGGGCCACAGGGACGGGGCCTATGGGTGGAGCGGGGAGCCTCTGGGGCGGGGCCACGGGGGCGGGGCCACAGGGACGGGGGCCTATGGGTGGAGCGGGGAGCCTCTGGGGCGGGGCCACGGGGGGCGGGGGCCACGGGGACGGGGCCTATGGGGTGGGGCGGGGCCACAGGGACGGGGCCTATGGGTGGCGCGGGGAGCCTCTGGGGCGGGGCCACGGGGGCGGGGGCCTATGGGTGGAGCGGGGAGCCTCTGGGGTGGGGCCATGAGGGGCGGGGCCACAGGGACGGGGGCCTATGGGTGGAGCAGGGAGCCTCTGGGGCGGGGCCACAGGGACGGGGCCTATGGGTGGCACGGAGAGCCTCTGGGGCGGGGCCGCGGGGGCGGGGCCACAGGGACGGGGCCTATGGGTGGCGCGGGGACCCTCTGGGGCGGGGCTACGGGGCGGGGCCTATGGGTGGAGCGGGGACCCTCTGGGGCGGGGCCACGGGGCGGGGCCTGTCGCGGGATTCCCGAGCCCCGCCCAGGACGCATACACCGCCGTGTCCTGGTGGGTGAGCAGGTAGAACCCGGGCTCTAGACAAACGGCAGGGGTTACTTCTGGCTTCTTGTGGTTCCCGTGTTTCCAGGCTGTTCGTAAAGGCCTAGGAGTGGCATCCGGCAGCAGCTGGGTTAGACAAGAAAACTTGGTGTTTTGTAATTTTATGACTGGTCTTCATCTTATTTTTCCTACTAGACTGGCTGTTTCTTGCAGGTGGAATCTCAAGTGGGCTCATTTTTCATCACCTTACACTGTAGCAGAAAGCTCAGTAGACCTTCCATTTATTTAATGAGTGGATTTCGTCCTAGCTACACTTAGCTGCACTTTCTGACAAAATTTGGTGTTTTTTTCTAACTATGGGTTCGAATGTTTTCATGCAAGTCTGTGGCAGATGTCAATCACAACCAGATACAGACCAAAGACTGAGACATGGGGAAAGCTAACCTCGTTTTGGCCAAAATTAGGGGTTTTCAAAAGTACTAAAAAATAAGCCAAGTTACTAGTTAATTAGCTCAGTAATTCTCAAACGTTTTAGTTTGAGAGTTGTAGCATCTCGTTTATTTTATCAAAGTTGTGGCAATCACTTTCTTTTTAGATTACTCTCTTTCACAATTTGTACGAGATTCGGGAGGAGCTCAGATGGTGGTGAACTGACAGGGGTGGTAGGACTCGGTCCCCGTCAGGGTCCCGTGAGTGAGGAGTAGGCAGGGTGGGCAGTCACCAGGGGCGACTGTGGGTTCTCCATGGCCGTCAGGGAGCCCACCTGGCTAGCAGGTGGGGAGCCACAGCTTGGGGATGAGAAAAGCGAGGGTAGGCAGGGTAAGGCCAAGGCCACAGAGGTGGGAAATGCAGATTCAGATCTCAGTGTTTCCTAACTCAAAGAACGAGAACAGGAGAACGTGTGTGGCTTACTTTGTCCCAGGAGCTGTGCTTCGTCTTTAACCCCCTGAGTCTTGTTAGGGAGGCACTTCTGTAACCCTGTTTTACAGATAAGAAAATGGGTGTACAGTTTGCCCAAGGTCCTACTGTGAGGTGGCAGAACCAGCGTTCAGATGAGCCCCATTTTGATTCCCGAGGAAATATCATTGCTGTGCGACCCCACCTCTCCCACTGTGTGGTTCTGAAGCCTTTTTGCAAAGCCCAAGACCCCACCCCTGTGTCCACCCACATGCTGTACCACACTGTGGTCCTTCAACCAGGCAACTTAGCAGGGGAGGGCAGCGTGCGGACCACCAGAGCTTGAGATCACTTCTGACTTGAGCAATGAACACTGCTTCTCACCGTTTCCAAGATCCCACACAGAATGCACCCCAAAATGAGTTCATTCCCATGGACATAGCTTCCCCTCACGGTCTGCTCAGCTAGGACACGATCCACAGAATGAATTTGGGGTTGTATACCTTTTTGGGAGAACCTAAAGTGTAGGATTTGTGCACATTAAAAAGGTATTCAGTCAAGCTAACTACCTTGTCTGTTGCTTTTCTGCTTGATTCAGAGAAGGTTTTTTTAGAGACCCTCCTGGCAGAGAGGGATGACAGACACTGTCCTATTCCTGGGAGCCTCTACGTGAACATAAAATCCTTACGTGGAATGCACTTAAGCATCAGGTAGCTGGCATAGCACATGCGGAGAGACACACACATCCACTCTCCACAGACTGAGCAAGTCTCTGCCGTCCTCTGCACCCCCACCCCCTGTCCCAGTCTGCCCCAGTCGGCTGTCATAGCATCTTCATCTTGAGAAAGGATCTGGGTGTTTTTTGGTTGGATACCCTGGACTCCCATTGTCTCAGTAAATCCTTTCTGGGAATTTCCTGGGGATCATGACTCCCTTTCAGAAATTCTGCTTAAATCTCTAAGAGGCTTTTCAGGAGAAGAGTAAAGTTAATACCGTTTTGTATTTCATTATAGCTAAGGTCAGTACAAGAGGGAATTTAAGGGTGTCATTCATCACTATCACGTATTCACATTAGTCATGTTAGGGACATTATGGTTATGCCCTAATTCTGTGTTTTTCTTTCAGGTTGGTTTGTTGGACCTTGAACTCAATCAGCTGACCAAAGCACTGTTTGTGGCTTTAGTTGCTCTCTCGGTTGTTATGGTAACCTTACAAGGATTTGTAGGCCCGTGGTACCGCAACCTGTTTCGGTTCCTCCTCCTCTTCTCCTACATCATTCCCATCAGGTAGGTGTAAGAATTAAGAGAAAACAAGTAACTGGTTTCATTGAGTTTGATTTTATTGAAATTTATCTTTGGCAGCATGGAAGAAGTTATCCACACAAAGCTAAAGAGGAAGGAGCCAACAACTCTGATGAATCTTAAGGAATGCTTCTATAGAAAATAATATTTTGGGGGGGGCAAAGTCAGTTTTGTTAGAATAATCTAGAAATCTGGTGCTTTTCCTTATATGAATGTTTTGATAGTATATTCAAGAATTGGGAGATATTTCTTGATAAAACAAACAGTTTTGTTTACTGCCAGTAGACTTTACTTCTAGTACCTTTGGATTATATGTGTCACTAAGTTATCTTTCAGAAACCATCTAATATATCTGTCAAGTGAGATAAAATATTGAGTAAGACAGACTTTAATATGAACAATTTTTCAAAATGATAACTCATTTAACTTGAAATTGGGATCTAAATAGTTAATATTAGATGCCTAATGAGTTTACTTCACTAATATAGTACGGATATATATAAGTCCATTCTAAAATATTTCCACAAAGTATATTTCAAAAAAATGCTTCATATATATGACTGAAAATTTTTACATGAATGAGCAGTTCAAGCCTAATCATGTATAAAGCATGAAGCTAGAATAAGCATCTTCTGTAACCCAGAGCAGAGTAACATAGACTAGAACAGTCTTGCGCAAAGATGGAAACATTCTGAAGGGAAAGGCTTCTTTACAGACCAGCTTTCTCCAAAAGTTTGTCTAAAGGTGCTGTCCCTTCCACTTACGTACGTCTCTAAAGCGGGGCTGTGGCGTGCCCCCGGGTGCCGTGCCCACGACAGTGTCCTGTGTACAGCCCGCTCCATCCAGCCCCCACTCGCTGGTTGAGACGGGGAGCTCGTCTCCGCCCCTCCGAGAACACGCAGTCGTGTGCATTCACGGCTGTTTCTGCTGGAACTGGAACACCTGCTCCCGTGGACACTCTCCCCTTGACCGCCTCAGCGTCATGCCTGATGGGGCCAGCCTGCCTTCCCAGCCCTGTGTGCCTCCCTCCACCACCACACCACACTCCAGGCTTGGCCCTTCTCAGCCGTGTGTGCTGCAGGAAGCCTCTCCTAACCTGGGCTCAGTGCTCACTGCCAGCCAGCCTCTTGGTATCACAGCAGCCTGATTTAATTCTGCTGACGTCTCCACTGGTCACTGATACTTGGTCTTGCTTTTCTGATGCTCTGTGCTCACCACGCTCCATGAGGATAGGGGCCGCGTTTGGCTCCGTGCTTAGAACAGAGTGCAGGGCGTGCCCCAGGGCTCGTCACACCCTCACTGAACAGACCATCACAGAGGTCCTGCCCTGCTCTGAGGAGCTGCGAGTGTGCAGACCATCGGTCGAGCTGTCAGGCGGTGTCATCGTTAGCACCTAGATGCGTACCGAGTGCCAGCAGGGCGCTCTGGTGACAGAGCTGTGTCCCCAGAAACTCACTGGGTAAGTGGAAACAGGCAGAATATAGCTATTGATCAGTCTTCCCAGAACTGACCCCTTCAGATGGGATGGTCCAGCGGGTAGTTCCTGGTCTGAACGCATTCAGCCCGGATGCCTAGTCACCATCCCCCCACAGCCCTGATCTGTGCCAGGCACGTCGCCCAGTGTCCCATGGGGACGTGGATGTGGTCGTAGGCCCGAAGCGTGCATGGAACCTGGCAGAGCGCGCCTTGGCTCAGCTTACTGCCGCTCCAGCAGCCCCAGCCTGGTGCATGGCACGCACCACGTCCTCAGTGCAGCGCGTGGAAAGAACGGCCCCAAAGGAAAGCCAGCTTGCAAATGTGATAAGTCTGTGTTGCTAGTGTTTTCACTCTTTTACAGTAAATGCAATACAGAGTTCACTGCCAGACGTAGCACGCCAGTGGGTATGTTTCCCAAAAGTAGCCTTGGAAGCCTGCCTTCCCTTACTCTCTGTGTCCGCTCACCCACCCATTTCTGTGGATTGTATCTGCTGATTTAGCTTGACGTTGTTGCTCCCTAGATCAAGGACCTTGATGTCATTTCTGCTTTGAATGAATGTCACAGCTTTCCCCAGGAGCTTCCTGACTCGAGTCCGAGGCCGACAAGGATTCCTTCTACAATTCCCCACGGGAAAGAAGGCCACATGCCTAGCACCCCACACACAGCCCACTAGGTACCAGCAGCACTTAGTGCTGGAAGGTGTGAGCTTGGGGCCCCACTGCCCAACAGGAACCCCCTGCCCAGTGTGAGCCAACCCCCCTGCCCGGTGCGAGCCCTCCTGCCCGGTGTGAACCAACCCCTCTGCCTGGTGTGAACCAGCCCCACTACCGGGTGTGAGCCCCCCTCCCCGGTGCGAGCCCCCCTGCCTGGTGGGAGCCCCTCCTCGCCTGCTCAGGCTGTGTCCACAGGGACCGGCCTGCAGGTGTTAGCTTGTTAGCACACTCCTCTCTTCTCCTTCAACTGCCAACAAAAGTCTCCTGCTCCTGCATCCATCGAGCAAACACCTATTTTCTTAGTAAATCCTGTGTTGTTTTGTTTTGCCTTGGTTTGTGCTTTTGCTTCATTAATCTTGTTTTTCTTCATTTGTGTTGCTTTTGTCAGTTCTAAGGTGTTTTTATGTTGTCCCTTTCAAGACTCTCATACAGTGCAGAAGGCCTAGTGGGCCTTCTTTTTTCTGGAGCACTTCCGTATTTAACTGGTGGAAGCCGCTGAACACTATTCAAATTTTTATTATATTTTTTAATGAAATATTTTATTCCTTTGGACGCTCTAATTTGTTCAGCATAATGACAGTATAAGGAGACTTCACATTTCTTTTGTCAAATTAACAGGAAAAATGAACTATAGTTACGAAATCTAATACGTTATAAGCATTTTTAGGCCGATACTAATTTTCAGTGGTTTTTTTTATATTTCAGTCGTATATATACTTATAGTAAAAAATTAGATAATACCTGATAACAAGAGAAAGAAATAGGTATTATCTGTAATTTTACTATTGATAAGAACTATAAAATTTTTCAGATACGTGTACATATATAGACTTATAAATATGAATGTGCATATTTATATATATATAAATATACCAGCATTTACACAAAAACAGAACTTTGTTGTTGTTTAGCTTATATAGCCTTTTTAAAAGTCTTTACAAAATGAGGAATATACTAAGTTTCTACAAGTTCGTCTTGTTCTGGTTTTGCAGTCAACAGGTGTTTTTGTTGTTGTTTTTTTAATTTTATTTATTAATTTGACAGAGAGAGACACAGTGAGAGAGGGAACACAAGCAGGGGGAGTGGGAGAGGGAGAAGCAGGCTCCCCGCAGAGCAGGGAGCCCAATGTGGGACTCGATCCAAGGACCCCGGGATCATGACCTGAGCCGAAGGCAGACACTTAACGACTGAGCCACCCAGGCGCCCCATAAGAAACTCTTTTTTTTTTTAAGGATTTTATTTATTTATTCATGAGAGGGAGAGAGAGAGAGAGGCAGAGGCAGAGAGAAGCAGGCTCCCCGCCGAGCAGGGAGCCCGATGCGGGACTCGATCCCAGGGCCCCGGGATCATGACCTGAGCCGAAGGCAGATGCTCAGTGACTGAGCCACCCAGGTGCCCCTCCAGTCAACAGTTTTATATTTACATGTTCAGTCAAGTGTGAGAGACTTACTAGACAGAATTATACCTGCACCTCTTTTTAGCTCCAAAATGTCTCACGCCTACTTCAACACGATCCTTTGCCTTGTTTTTCACAGTTTGAGAATGCAGTTAGACAAATGTGGCAGAAGGAATGAAAACTGTAAAATGTGAAAAGCCTAGGATGCTGATTTAGGGAATTCATGTTTACATTTGATTCAACAAAGTTTGTTTTCCTTTGCAAAGTTTCCATAAAATATGAATAATAATATGTTTTAGTATTTGCTAAATACGCTTTTCAATTTAATAAAGGATAGATTAAAAAAAAATTTTTTTTTGAAAGTGCACAATTTTGGAAAGTTAAGTGCTTTTTCCTCTATTGACCTAACACATGTTTTTAATGGAAGTACAGTGTTACATTAGTTTCAGGTGTCCAGCATAGGGTTTGGGCAACTCCGTGCCTTAGCAGATGCTCCCTGCAGTAAGTCCGCTCACCGTCGGTGGCCATGCAGTTACTACAGTCTTACCAGCGACCCTCCCGGTGCTGCATGTCTCATCCCCATGACCCCCTTATTTTTTAACTGGAGGTTCGTACTTGTTAATCCCCTTCACCTGCTTCACCCTTCCCTGTAGTAACCACCCATTTGTTCTCTGTGTCTGTGAGTCTGTTTCTGGTGTGTTTGGTTGGTTCAAAGGCTTTTCAAATTTAACAAACGTAGGCTGTTTCATAGAAATTTTTCTTGACAGAATAAAATATTTTTGAGCCACCTGATATAATTTACTTTGTCTTTCAAGGAAAACATTTCAGGGTTTAACTCTTGTAATTGAAATAGATATATGTTCCCTGCATTGTTTGTGTCACTCGTAACAAAACACAGACCGTCAGAGTTCTTCGTGGCCCCATCAGGCCAGGTACTTGTGGTTGCTTGTTGGTTCAGTAGCTCTTTTCCCCACATGCTTTCCAAGTGTTGTGTCGTGTTCTCACTGATGGTCCAGAAAACTCCTATCAGTGCTGGGTCAGAGGGACCTTTACTCTCACGGGGGCACGCGTGGGTGATGGGGGTAGAAAGGTGCTGCCAGTGAGGACTCTGTCCCTTCTGAGAAACACATGGGCCCGTCTTGTCTAAAGCACTGCAGGGCGCCTGGGTGGCTCGGTTAAGCGACTGCCTTCGGCTCAGGTCATGATCCTGGAGTCCCGGGATCGAGTCCCGCATCAGGCTCCTTGCTCAGCGAGGAGTCTGCTTTTCCCTCTGACCCTCCCCCCCTCATGCTCTCTCTCTCTCTCTCAAAAAAAAAAAAAAAAAAAATCTAAAGCACTGCAGTCGGTGGGGGCCCTGTGGCTTGGGCAGCGGGGCCCCCATTCTGCCACCTAACTGCCC